TTAACCCACTTCTTAACAGTCATTCGCTGGAGTGAGAGTCAGCATGAAATTTCCAATACCCAGGGCTCTTCTTGATGTTCTTTTTAAGAGATACAAGAAAAACACCCTTTCAAGTTTGGGGAGAATGTACAGCTTTTTCCACTTCTCTTTTATACTTCTACAGTCACCTAAGGCATCAGAAAAATCTGATTTCATCTGTCTTAGACATTTTCTCATTGTTCGGACAAAAATATCATCAGCACACATAATTTACAGGAAGCAGGGTTCATTTGTCCTCACAGTTTCTAGAGGTTTCCACCCATGCTCAGCTGCCTCCAAGGCAGAAATAGAGGACAACTGCTCATGTCATGGCAGCCAGAAGGCAGAGAGAGAAGGAAGGAGCAGGGGAGGGAGACAGACCCTTCCAGTCACACCACCAGTGACCTGGCTCCTTTGACCAGTCCCCACCTCCTGCCAATGCATTTAGCTTTGGATTAATCTGATGGTTACAGCATTCCATAGTCCACTCACCTTCTAAAATCCCACCTCTGAACTCTAGGCTTTTGAGGGACATTCTAGATTAGGCCATAACATCATCACTTTCAGAACACTTTTCTGTGGCCTGTCTCTGAAATTCTTCATCAAGCAGTTGAAACCAACAGCCTTGCATTTGACTTCGTGCACATTTATTGGTCAAAAACAAAAGGCTTTATTGAGTTTGGAGAAGTTTACTGCAGCTGCAGGGAGTCAGTTTTGGTAATCACAGCTAATGAGTTGAGGTGTCAAGGGAGGCTCAACTTTGTACAGGCCAAAGCATAGTTGAGAGTTAAGCTTTTTATTTGTTAGAATTATTCTTCTGAAAGTCATAAAAACAAATATACAACTTTCCTTTCTTTGGTTACCCTGTGATGTTTGAAACCTAGTCATCATGTATATTCTGACTTCATAATGCATATGACCTCCATTCCCAAGAGTTTGTCTTGGTCTCTGATGGCTTATCAGCTCTAACTGTCACATTGCAATCAGCAAGGAGGAGAAAATGCTGAGAAAGAGGACGTGGAAATGGCAACAGTCTAGAATTTGAGCTTAAGATTCTTCTTCTTTCCCGTTGACTAGAATTTAGGCAACTGGCAAAATTTACTGGACAGGATCTGGAAAAAGTCTTTCTTTGAGCAACAATATATTTTGCTAATATTCTAGGACACTGTCATTGAAGGATAAGACCAAATGGATATAAAGTACAAAATAGAAGACTCTGCTATAGAAAGAAAGATTATGCGTTATGTATTGATAGCCCTGGAGCTGATTTGCATTTGGACAGAGCTTCAACAAATTCTGTTTTTTTCTCAGAGACATCATGTGTGGGAAGTTGTTTTGTCAAGGTGGCTCAGGTAATTTGCCCTGGGAAGGATTTACCATATCTTTCCTGACATGTAAACTATTTGATCCTAAAGACAAAAGTCAAGGCATAGACCTGGTGGCCAATGGAACCAAGTGTGGGCATAACAAGGTGAGGTGAAATTGTGGCTTTCACTCAAAATAGTAGCTTTTTGTTTGGCTTTTGTTTTGCTGTTTCACTTCTCAGTTATTTACTTGTTGCTTTGTTTTCCAATTATCCAGTTCATCATACCTTGACACAACAGGTAGGGATTTGCATATGGAACATTATGAACAATGCAAGACATGAAAATGGTAGAGAACCTCTAAAAAAACAAAAATAAGGACTCTCGTTAACATTTTCAAACATTATATTGAAATCTAGAAATGATTCTTACAGATATGATGTCAAAAAAAGTGTGATACATATATGTCTTCCCTTTCTAGACTAAAAGTTTGGAAACTTACTAGAAATGCCTTTGTGTGGGATACTGGGCTTTAGTTATTGAGTTTGTACATCTATAAAAATCTAATAACCCACAATATGAGGCACCAGTACCACCTTGGTCAGGAGTAACTCATGAGCTTTGATGACGAGGAGATTCAACTCCGGAAGGAGATTAAAGTTACATTATCAATTGCATTCAGATATCTGTAGGACTCAAGATCTACCCTGATTTTCTGTTCAAGTCAATCCTGAAAATACTATCTTATTTATAAAACTTTCTTTGGCTATTTATTTTTGGGTCTAAAATTACCTTTGTGGTTCAGTGCTTGTATTGCCCATGACACATTTTGGGGAGTAATTATAAAAATGTTGATGGAATTGGCATGGCCTCTGAGGCTGAGCACCAAGAATATAAATTTAGAAAAGGTTTAAATTCTGCCGATTTGAAATTAAAATCTTAATTCTAGACTGTAAGAAGTACTCGCAGTATTTAGCTTTCCTTCCTCCTATGTTTCCTGAAATATGCACCATCATCAAGGCCAAGAATATTACGTAAAATAGAAAAGTCCTTAATAGGAACTTCCAGTTTTCACATACTAATTCTTTCCTGAAATCTAGTGAGGACAGGACTTGGCCTGAGTGTTACAGTGCTTGGGCCATACCACATGAGGAATACTTGAACTAAGGAAGGATTTAGATATTCCTAGGTCCCCTGGGATCAGCGTCATATTATTATTATCATCTTTTCTTATATGGCCATTGCTTCTGAGATATAGAGTAGTGTGGACTTTTAAAAAGTAGGTGACTGTTTAGGTCAAATCCATTGTCCTTTGGGGATTGGTTTAACTATGTGAATACTGTGAGCAACAGAGTTCTTCTCCCTTTTCCTTCCTGTGCACCTGCCATCGCCTGCATTTGCACAATAAAGAGGATCGTGTATCTTTCCCTTCTCCCATGATAATTACCTGCTGTCTGATAGCCTCCTCACAAACACCTCAACTTTCCCATCTTCATACAGAGAGGAGGCAATTTCAAAGGTTTGCATTTCCTTATTCAACACTTAGTTGCATAACATTACTTCTACCAGTCACACTGCTTCCCTTTTTTTCTTCTAAATTATAAATCCTCCCTAAATCATCATCACTAGTATTTAATTGGGTTTTGGTTTTACACAATTTTTTTCTTGTATCTCCTACTGCATAGTAGTTACTATTTACATGTTGTATCAGTTAGAATGCTTTAAGCTGTGGAGGAAGAGAAAAACCAACTAAAATTCACTTTCACTATTTGGATATTCATCAGTTCACACAATCCTAAGTCTAGAGGTGGAGGAATAGTGTGTAGTTGATTCAGTGGTACAATGCCACCATCAAGAACCTGGCTCCTTTTCTCCTTTTCTCCCAACATCTCCAGAAGGCTCCATGCTGGCTTAAGCTGAGTGAAGTGCTCCCCCTCTCTAGGCAGTAATGCAGAGTTAAAACACAGGATTGTCCCGTGCATATTCAGAGTGAAAACTTTTTTTCTTAAAAGCTCCTTTCTGGCAGATTTGGCATCACTTTTCATTTCCCAGAGTTGTATCACCCACCTATTCTTAAACCAATACCTGACAAGGGGCAAGGAATTGTAATGATTGACCTGTATCCATTAAAATTTGCACTCAGAATTAGGAAGGGCCTCAGTTGTCCTTGACAGCACATAAGAAATATTAATAAATCAAATGAGACAAACAGAAACTTCTACCAGGCATGTGAAATAATTACAATAGGAACTGTAGCTTCAGTATGTTTGGATGTATAATGACATCTTCACACTAGCTTTTAACAGGAGAACACTTTATTCAAATGGAAACATAAGATGGAGTCCAAATTCATAAAATAAATAAAAGCAGAGCAGCTCTAGAGAAAATGGACAGCAAACTCCACACCTGTAGCCTCTTCCTAGTGTTCTGTGGAACATTGTGTGTAATTATTCTTGTCTGCATTCATTTTTTCCAATGGTATTTAATAAATACCTATTATATGCTTTGGAATCGATTGTCAAACTTCATACATTTTAGCACTGCAAAATCGGTAAGTACTCAATACCTGAGAGCCACTCTGATCGTAAGACAAAAGGGTGAATGTTATTTAATTTACATCCACAGCAGTTATTGTAATATCATACATGATGTGATATCAGCATTTATTTTCTCTTATATTTTTATTTGGAAGTGACATCTGCTATTATGTGCAATGGTTAGCTCAGTGATAAATATCAAGTATGGAATTGAAGCTGTAATTTAATGGAAAGATCCATTAGGAATGAAACAAAGGAAGGAAGTTTTCTTTAAAGAGGACTTTCTAAATATTTTATTATAAAAATTACCAGATGTTATCTTCCTGTTTCAACAAAATACTGTGATTTACTGATGAAAAGGTGGGCTTGATTACAATAATTGTGGCTAGCAATATAAGACTAAATTTTAAGCAGTCAAGAATTTGCAGATCTGAAGCCAATAGACATTAACATCAACTTCCTGTGTTTTCCATCATTTTTAGGTGTGCATTAATGCAGAATGCGTGGACATGGAGAGGATCTACAAGTCAGCCAATTGTTCCTCTAAGTGCAAAGGACATGCTGTAAGTTTTGCAAATATGTGTACTTATGCTTGCTGAATCTTAGGTAATTTTAGGTTCGTTATGATGAAGCTGAAGCAGAGGTTTCAGCATTCAGTGATGACAGTCATCAAGATTGCTTGCCCACTTGATTACATAGCATGTCAGAAATCTCTTTGGAGAACCCATGACTGAAGCCCTAGGCATCATGCATCCCCGGGTAGGCAGAGGAAGGCTGGTGGAGTAGAGTCATATCTGGCTCAGGATGGGCTTTTCTCTGGCTGGTGGTCAGTGGGATGGGGGAACTCACAAGGTTGGTTCTCCTGCAGGTGTGTGACCACAAGCTCCAGTGCCAGTGCAAAGAAGGATGGGCCCCTCCCGACTGTGAGGATTCCTCCACAGTCTTCCGTAGGTAACACTCTACACCCAAGGAACATGGCTCTCCTCTTCCAAACTCCTAGTGGGTATCATTTAAGATGCCTTTGCCTCTTTTCTCTTGGAATCCCAGTTTTCTAGCTATTGATTCCACAATATTAAATCCCAACGTATCTCTAATGACTTTTAAATCATATTTCTACATTTCTAGGTTTTTATTTTACACATAAAAAAGCCTCAAATTTTATATTCATAATGTTCTTTTAATATCCCAAATTTTCATGCTTTATGATTGTTCTATTTTCATATCAGCATTGACTTAATGGATAGATAAAATAAGCTCATAAAAATCTCTAGTATGACTTAGATTATTTTTGTAGGTCCAATTCTTCTCTCTGTATTACCGCTAGCTGTTTCTGGTTGGGCTGGCCTATTTCTGTTCTGGATGTCTGTATGCTCCTTGCTATCTGTATGTCAATGTACTGTTTTTCTTCAGAATGTGGGATTCTAGTTGAACAAGGGGTTAGCTTGACTTGCATTGGCTCACATGGGTTTCTTTGTATTTTTGTTTGCTTGTTATACTTACTGATGTCTTTCTCAGTGGAGACCTGATTGTGAGTTTTCTTAGTAGGTAGACAGGTCTCCCCACAGGCTGTCAGAGTGAGAAGGAGCCACGGTGGGGACTCTCACCTGCTGAGGATACTGTAAAGAATCTGAAGAGAGACATTTTTTGCATTTCTCTCCAAGAGCTGCTTTTTCTCAGCACTTCTCTTTGCCTTTTTCCTCCCTGTATGATCCAGAATGTGTGTTTGGAGCCAGCTTCTCTCCTGTTCCCCAAGCTCCTGCATACCCCACTGCCTCTGAACAGCTATTGGCAGGGCTTTGTCCCAGGGACATGAACCATCGTTGCTTTCCATCCAGCAGGAATCAGCATGGAGAGGTGGATGGGATGAGTCTGAATGGACGATCGGTCCCAAATTCAGATTCTTTGTTAGGCCTTTCCAACAAGAATAGCCATGTATTTCTGTCATGTAGGCTATAATTTCTGCCTACTCCAAATCCTTAATTTCCCGTCTTTCTGGAGCTTCTAAAAATTCTTTACTTTTAAAGCATTCTATGACTTTATTATTCACAAATACACATGATTTCAGATTTATCGTGGGTAAGGTAGGTGGATAGATACAATATAACCAACCACTTTAGCTAGAAAACTCTTTATTGATTTCAATGTTCATTAAAAATCATTTTAAACTATGACTTACCTCTTCTTAAAGCTTTTATTTTGATTTCTCTATTGATTTGCTAAATCTCGTCCATGAGCAATTACTTCTTCCTGGGAGATTGTGTCTGTGTTAACTTTTCTAGGTTTTGTTTGTAAAAAAGTATTTGTGTTGCTAAATATTTCTGTTAATAATCTATGTAATGAAATGTGTAGCAGCTGTACAGGGTTGGATTTTTAAATCCCGGTCTTACTTCTTTATACAAAAAATATATACTGATTTATTTTTATTTTTTCGTTTTGTAACTGATGTTTAAAACCAAAAATTATACTTCTCACTTTGGTATGTGCAATGGTTTGATACATGTATATGTAATCCCTAAAGCAGGCAAAACATATCTATTTTCTCAAGCACTTGGCATTCCTTTATCATCAAAACATGCCAACCTTTTTCTTGTAGCTTTCTGAAATGTGCAATGCATTATTGTTATCTGTGGTTCTCCAACTGCGTAGTTAACACCCCAGATCGGACTGCTAACTTGCTACAACTAAGTGGCCACCCATGAGCTCTCCACACCCTGCTATCCCTCCTGCACTCCGGAGCCTCTGGGAGCCAAAATTACACTACCATGTATTTCTTAACATGCATGAAAATGAGGGAGCTTTCCAGTTCCTGTTAAATTAACTTTTAGCAGAACTACTTTCTATCTGGAGAATATTCTGTGTGGAGAATATGTTAAAATTTGTTGAGACTTACTTGATGGCTCAGCACATTCCCATATTTTAAAGTATTCTGGCTTTGAACAACAAAAAAAATGTGTGTTCTGCCCGTCATGTTTTCTATATACCAACTTGATCAATTGTGTGTGTTTATTGATCCCGCTGGTATTTTTCTCCTTTTTTATTAGTACATGTTTGCAGTACATAATGATTCCATTCCTCTCTGGGAGCATGGACATCTTCATTCTTTGTTCATCTCTTTCCCCCTCCCTCCATCTCTCAGTTCCTTTTCCCATCTCCCATTTCCTATTATCTTTTATTTTGCTCCTTATTTATACATTGAGTTTCCATATAAGAGAAACCATGAAATACTTAAGCTGTGTGTCTGATTTATTTCGCTTAACATTATGGTCTGCTACATTTTTTATTGTTCTGCCACTTAATATGCAGAAGTGTTAAGATTCAAGTGTAAAATTCCCCACTGAAATGTGAATTTGATTATTACTTCTTCTCGGTCTATTAATACTAATATATTTTGGCACCATACTATGATATACAAACAAGTGTAGAATTAGTATGCCTTCCCAGTGAATTAACATTTTCATAAGTATAAAATGATTCTATGTATCTCTAGTATGGCTGTAGCTCCTGAAGAATAAGATACCTATATCGTAACTCTGTGTGTATTTGTATTTGTTTAACATTTTATACTTTCAACTTTTCTGAATCCTCTATAAATCTGCTACTTTTTAAAAGTGCATTTTAGTTTTAGTCTTACTTTAGTGTCATCTTTGTGTTTTATTTTTTAAAAGATTGAGCTGGGATCCATTCGAATTTAAAGTAATTACTGATGTACTTACGTAAATCTACAATTATTTAGTTTCTATTTGTTTATGTTCCTTCTTTATTCATTTTTTTGCTTTTGGATGGTCTGATTGACCATTTTAATGACTATTTTTATTTTTGTTAATTTTGGAGGTTTTGCATCCTTTCATATCCTTTTAGTGATTTTCCTAAAAGTTTCTACTTCTTTGTTGCTTGCTAAAAATGGGTTTTATTTTTCAAAGCAGTTTTAAGTTCACAGCAAAATTGGTCAGAAAGTACAGAGTCCCCACAGTCCCTGCCCCCATACGCAGACATCCTACCTCCAGCCCTGCAGTTGTCAGGAGAAATGAACCTACATTGGCACAAATACTGTGCATTAGGGTTTGCTCTTCATTCTTTCCTGCATTTCTGTGCTTCTTTCTAGAATAATGTTCCTGTCCTGTCCTGTCCTCCTAAATTTCTGATTTTTGCCTTAATCTTTACCAAGTGCTACAAAGAAATTTCTCCTTATTTAAAAAAAAGTATTTGCATACTTCAGGAAGTTCTCTGACAAAATGTCTATATGGTTTATGGTAGAAAGGTCGATCCAAATTTTCTAGGCTACTGTTACTAGAAACAGAAGAGGCTGTAATTACTCTGCAATTATTTCCTTCTCAAACTGCACACTTACCTCCTGCAGCTATAATTTTATTTGTTGTAAGCCCCAACTTTATCTCTAGACCATGTTCCTTCAGATTAGGGGGGGTTATGAATCAATGCCAATTTCCACTTTAGTTCCTCTGATATTATGTTGTTTCTCTCTCTCTGGTTTTTTTCTTTTTTTGATACCAGGAATTAAATTCAGGGCCTCGTGCTTGCCACTGAGCTACATTCATGGCCCCTATGTTGTTCTTCTGAAAACAGTTTCAGTTCTGATTTTAGTTCAAATATGTATTTTTGATTTTGAAGGTATCTGTATTATATCTGAGCAAATGTCTCTGGGCTTTATTTTCTGCTGACTTTATTGAAAAATAATTTTTACAGAAGATGGAGTGAATAAGTGGAACTGACATTGTCTTACTTAACATTCTACTTCTGAGCCATCTGCCTCTGTCTGAATGATGTATGTTCATTCCTTGCAACTGTACAACAGTGAATCTTGTTACTGGTTTGCCAATGTCTGTAATGAGAGGAGTAACTCCATTGCTCTTCGGTCTTCTACTTCCTGGCCCCTTGTGCTTTCAGATCATTACAAGAGAAATGAATATTTGAGATAGCAAAAGATTGAAGTTATATCTATTTCTTGGTCTAGTAGCTAAAAGAGGAAATGTCATGTAGACCCAGTGATATTTGTTCAAACCATTCCCTGGGTAGCATAGTCACGTAACTCCTTTTTGCCCATAATAATTCCAATATAAGCAATCAGCAGCAGAACACTTACTTAAGTCTCTAGCAATTCTCTTTCCCATTTCTCAGCACCTTATTTGCTACTGAGAGGAATATAATTTCAGGACCTCATTTTCTTTCACCCGTTTCATTTAGGGCTTTATTTCTAAAATGTTCCATTCCTACTCTTCCATCTTCCTGACTCATACTTTCTTCTAAATTCCCAGCCCTTCCCTTTCCCATTATTGCAAAAATCACCCCTTCAAAGAATTCTCAGTGGTAGGATGCTGTGTCCACCTAACACTGTTTTGTATACATTATCCCATTATGGACATTAACACAATAATCATGATCAAAATACATCTTCATTTCACTGTCTATGAGAGATTTTCCAGAAGAATTGTGTTCATTCAGGAAAAAGTCAATGGAGTTTGAGCCAAATTAGGCAATAAGGGCCAAGTGACGTGCAATGCAAATTCTCGTCTCCTCAGGAGGCCCATTCTCTCTGTCGCAGACTTCTCCATTGTGGTGGGAGTGCTCTTCCCAGTGGCAGTCATATTTGTGGTAGTTGCTGTAGTCATACATCACCAGACTGCCAGAAGACGGCAGAAGAAAGTTCAGAGGTAAGCATTTATCTTGCTGTGGGCTTAACTTCTCTTTTACTTTAAATTTGAGGACATGACCTAACTTCTCAAATTTAATTTTTGTTTACTCAAGATATTCAGAAATATATACAAGATTCATTTTCTTTGGACTAGAGGCTGGAATCCCTTTTACTGAGAAATCTTTTACAACAAGAAATATGGGTTTTCTTCTGTTGGTTACCATATTGTTAATTAATAAAAGTGCCATTAATTCTCATTAGTAATGATTTTTGCATTTATCATAACACAGTATCTACCATTTATCCATCATTGTGCCCGACCCTTTTCTGTACATTGTTTCAATTAGTTTTTACAAGAATTTCAGGAGGTTGTTACTATTATTTCCATTTAGTTACTATTATTTCCATTTATCTGATAATCCCCTATGGTTCCACACTTCTCTTTGGACTAATGTGGGAACCAGTGCAGGGATTAACAAATTCATAGCCTTGCAAAGTAAGTGATGGAGTTCAGATTTCCATCTAGATCTCTTTTTTGGTCTTGACATACAGAATCCTTTTATCACTTTTAACATTAATTTATCAATCCATAATAAGTCTTTAATAAATATTACATCATAAAATTAATGAAATGACATATTCAGATAAAACTGGTTTTAATGCCATTATTATTAGGAACCAAGGCTCTGTAGAGAATTAAAAAAAATGACTAGTGGTGATTATGAACCACGGACAATGATGGTGGCTGACAGGGAACTAAAAGCTGAGGGATGTTCTGAGGAATAGATGAAAAAAAAACAGTCAATAACTTGGCATGGTGAAGTGGTCAGAGGAAGTTGGAGATCTTTTATTGAGTTTCCCCAGTATGCTGAAGGAACTGCTAGGTCAACTTCTAATGACATATTTTCACTTTCAGACCACTTCGTGCTCCAGAGCGCAGGTTACACAAGCAGAAGGGTAAAGTCCAGAAGATGAGGGCTATCCAGCCTCAAGAGGTAAATTTGGTTTGGGGTGTGCTCGTCAGAGCCCCCATTGATGATTTTCTTCACTCTTGTATACTGATAACTCATATACTGATCTTGTATCTTTCATTTCTTTTTTTTTAATTTTTAAAATTTATTTATTTATTTATTTATTTATTTATTTATTTATTTATTTATTTTTGTATCTTTTATTTCTGCCCAGCAATGTTTTACAAATCTACTTGTTAGTGTGTAGCAGGAGTATGGACAGTATAGCTACCTAGGCAGAAAATTCTCCTTCACTTTCACTTTTTGTTAATGAAGAAGAGAATCCCTATAATACGGGAGTTAATTTGATGGGGTCCATGAAATACAAGGAAATAAAGAACACAATAAGAGCAGATGACAGACATCTGTCTGTCTCTCCATCTCTCTTCTCTGTTCTGAGCTGATTATTTATTCCTTTGGCAAATTGAGCAACAGATAAAGTGATATTTATATGTGCAATCCTTAATGCCCTGGTCCTATCCTACAAGGTTAGAAATTTTAGCTACGGCTGATTAATGATAGAAATATTGGTATAGGAAATTTTCCTTGTAGCTCTGGAGAAATCCTCCTAGAAACGCCCCAGCAGGGCCACTGTCATTTCCTGTCTGGTCTCTTGGCGTCATGGTTGAAAGGTACGAGAACTTGAAAAGGCTGCTTATTTGGAAGCTATGTTTAGGCAACAGATGATTTCATATTAAAATATGATTTCTGCCTTTTAGATCAGTCAGATGAAGCTCCATGTGTCTGATCTGCCTGTAGAAGACAGTGAGCCTCCAGCTTCGGATGTGAGTTATCAGCTTCTCTTTCAGATCATCGCAATCCAGCCCAAAGAAGAGCAGTACCAGGGAAAGATATAACCCACAATGCCCAAGTATTTCTTCAGCAGAATGTTGAAAATTTGTAGACTGTTAATCTAAAATATAAAATCTTTTCAAAACTCTTTGAAAATATAGTATAAGAATGATATTAACTATATTAATATATGCCTCTCCATCTTATTCCTAAATTTAATGCCTAAACCTGAACTGGGAAATTGATAACTTATTATGAAAATACCAAACTTCTTCATAGAGTATCATAGTTAATTCAGGTGGTTATAACAAAAATAGCACAGACTTGGTGGTTTAAACAACTAAGATTTATTTCTTACTGTTTGGCAAGATGGGAAGGCCAAGATCAAGGTACTGGTATCTGAAAGGTCTTGCTTCATATTTGAGAACAGGTACCTTTGCACTGTGTGAGAAAGATTGCTTTTTTGTATCTTTTTTTATAAGGGTATAAATCCTATCCTGAGAGTTCCACCCTCAAGACTTAAGTACCTCCAAAAGGTCTCACTCACTCCCAAATGCCATCATACTGGGTATTGCAGCTTCAAAGTATGAATTTTTGGAGAGATACATTCCTTCCATAGTTGCTATCTTCATTAATTACACTGGGCTTGAGTCTGCATTGTATGTGTGTTCCTAAGTGAAAGCTCTTGAGTCACAGGTTTAGAATATTCTCGTGTGTAAGGTTAGAAATCCCTCCTGAAAATGATTTTAACTTTTCACTAAGCAAATCTGCTCTCAGGAGCCTCTCTTTGAATTTTTATTTTTTATATTCTTACTAGCTAATTCCAAAGCCTGATTTCCCACCACCACCAATTCCTACATCTGTGTCTTCTTCCTCTTTCCTTGTAAGTATTGCATGGTCACTGGTAGTTTACTGAATGTCTCTTGAGGCCACTAAGAATATTGTCCCTAAATGCTTGGACTCCATATCAGAGCATGTGATCCTGAGACTGACCTGACATATCACAGCACCTTCCTCCAAGAATAGCTTAAAAAGCAAGACCTTCTTGTTATTTATATATTCATATGAATATTGAATCATTATTATGAATAAGGTTCTCTGATTTTATAACTGTTGAAAAATGAGTAAACTTCTGTTGTATAAAATGTCTCTTTTAAAGGATTATTTCTAGCTGCTTATTCTAGAGGGTATGAAATTTTATTATAAATGATACTTATTACCATTTATTATAGATATCATTAAGCCTATTGTTATTATAGTTTCTGTAAGATATAGAGTATGAAAAGAGAAAATCACATACAGGCAAGCTTACATTGAAAGTCAGGCACTCATGAAATAAAAAGTAGAACTCATTCACTCATCAAGTAGTTTCTCAGCATATTTCCTCATGCTTGGAACTCTTTTGTAAATAAATGAGAAAAAGCAAATATTGAAATTCTTTTTTAAAAGAAATTGCACATCTTTTGTGGGGAAATTTCACATTTTTAGTAGCATACATATGGAGAACTAAATTTCTCAAGTATAATTTGTATCATCACCAAGTGATATTACTGAGAAGCATGGTGAGGAGAAAATGCGTGGTTAAAGTACGATCATGTACTGTTGACTGAGTAGTGGTATTTGAATAGGTCCTTGAGTATTGGGTAGAATTTAAGTAAGTGAAGAGGAGGCAATGAATAATTTCATGAAAGAAATATATTTTGCTAAGATGGGAAAAGCATAGAATTTTTAATGATCTACCATTATATTTTTATCTAACTTAGCATAAGGACACAAAAGCACTCCCTTCTGCTCTTATCAAAGATAAGCCAATGTCCACACCTAAGGTAAGAGATCCATAAACAAATTGTTATAACTTTGTAGCACTCCTAGCATGGAAGAGAAAAGTTCCACCCATCTCTTTTTAGAAGACGCTCACTCTGAACAGTATCTGTTGACTGTGGGGTGGAGCTGACATGAATGTCTCACTTCTGAGTTTGGCTAATGATCCTGATAATCAAGAGGAGAGAAGTGGAAAGATATGGTGACCTCAGAATTTCTCATTTTCTCAGAAATAGTCCCTGAGGACAGTAGGAAAGGATGCAATGTCCCATAGAATACTTAGGAGGGGCCCCTAACTCTCCCCCTGGTCCCCTTTCCTGTCCTATTAGGTCTAACTGCCTGGATGAATATTTGGGTGCTAGTGTAGTATTTTCCTATTTCTACTCTGCCATGTTTCTACTTCTTCACTGCTAACATATAAATAACCTGTAAGAAAGAAAATATGATTTCAGATAACTGGTTTTAATTTTAATAATTCCATGTTATAACTCTATTTAAGATATCTAAATGTGTAAGGAAAAATGACCATTTAAGAATTTTATCTTTTCTTTAGGGCTCAAACCCGAAAGTCTGAAGCATCTGCTAAGCAAAGATTGATGGCCAAATGATCAAATTGGAAAATCTGGATAGAAGAGAACTGAACTTATTTTATCACTATGGAGTGCTCTTAACATTCAAAGTAAAGTCAGCATATCTTGATTCTTGTAATACTTTGAAGAGCTTAACTAAAATTTTTAAGAGAGACATACTCTTAAAAATTTTTGTATTAATTCAAAATTTATTTTCTCCATATTTATGGAAGGAAGATAATGCTGAAGAGATGTCTATGAACTTTATATTTCTAATCAACTCATTTTTCCATAATTCTCTTTTTTTTCCATAATTATTATGTTGCCTAATTATTCAAATATATTGAAAACCTTGATTTGCTGATTTGATGGGAATTAATACTCTTGAATAAAAACAAGGAAAAACAGCAATCACAGGAAACTGATTTTTTAAACTGTTAATTTTCACAATTAAAATCCTTAGGAAGAAAGTTATGTAAACATTTTCTGTCCTATATAATGTATCACTTTCCTATATTGTCCCCGGAAATTTTTTTATTGACTCTGTCATTTGTTGTTTTCTACAACTGAGTAAAAACTTTAAAAAATAACATTTTGTCATACATTTTTGTATAATTCAATTGTTGGCACTGTTAAGATGCACTTTACTTTCTAAATAGAGGTTTCAGTTAAATAAATTCATAGCATGAACCAGCGGCTGCAGTCTGATGACCTACAGGCCATGTGTGGGCTGCAGATGTATTTATTCTGGCCTAAAAGATGTTGACCACATTTTAAAATGTTTTGAATTTATTCCAAGAGTTTTAAAATTGTGCATAAACTTTAAATTCCTAGCTTTTAAAAGAATAATTAGGTGGTTTGTCAATACTAGAATCATATTCCCCACAAAACCACAGCTTAGTTCAGTGACAGAGCAAGTATTATTCACTGTAAACCAAGTATGTCCTGTCTCCTTTTCTTCTTCTTCAGAGTTCTACTATTTTTCCAGCTGTCCATTTCTAGGAAAAAATATCCTAACTCCATCACATGGATAAATTCAATCCCTCTAATCCAATCACAATGACCTCATTTTCTTTGCCAGTTGTTGATCTAGAAAAGAATGTTTTAATTCTTCCTTTCCCAGGAGACAAGTGAGGACCTACCTTTTAACATTTTGGGGGGAAATAGTTCCTCATCTTTTCTTGTGGATGTTAGTATCCAATATCACTGCAGCTATGCTGTGAGTATGAAGATGAGTAGGATACACTACAACAGACAGAGCAGAGACACTAAAAGAATAAAACTTGGTCTTGTTGATTGTGTCATTGAACTGCTGGATTAATAATTGCTGAAGTCACCCCACACTGTGTTAGTGCTTCTTCTTATAGGACCAATATGATTTCCTTATTGTTCAAACCATTTTGAGTTGGGATTTCTCTCCTTTGCAACAGAAGTGGTCCTAATGGATAAGGTAGCTTCTTCCATTTTCAGGCTGACTGCTTTCCATGTCATTGTTACTGCTGTGTTTTTCTTATACTTGGTCAGATTCATCTGTTTCCATCACTTACTGCCCCTTCCTTCAGGAACTTTGCCCTGTAAGAAGTTCATTTATTCTTGTGATGTGGGGATCTAAATAAACTCATTCTGGCCTCAAAATTGAAGCTCCATCCTCAGCAAGTCCAGAATCCACCTGTCAAACAATTCTCATTTTTGGAATCTTTCTTTCCACTTGGGATTAGCACAAGAACAGTGTAAAAAGTGTAGTTGAATCTGCAATGTGAGATTCTAGTATGCGCTGTCCTGACCCAGAAATAAATCCCTATTTGTAAAAGCCACAATCTACACATGAGCAACCTTTGATTCTTTGCTGAGTTTTTCTTTGTTTCAATACCCATCCTAGCCACAAATTCACTTTATCCTTGTAATACTGACAAAATGGAAATGTTGGCCCTAGGAATCCTTAAACTACCAACCCTAGTCAGAGCTAGGAATAAAGCATATACTCTCAAGGAGTGGCCTCCGAATGTTCCTGTAGGTTCCTAAATGATGCTACTGTGTCCTTGACACAGAGGCATTTTGGTTCTCTTACAATGAAAGCCAACCTAGGGACAATAGCAGGAAAGCCACTCTCTTATCATATTCTGTTCTACAATCCTCCCTGTGAGCTGACACTGCGGAGCAGTTTAAACAGTTTAGAGCTCACTTTGATTTCACAGTTCAGATCCCATTCCAAGACCTGCAATTGACTGTGTACGAATTCCATCATTTGTCCTTGAACCAGCTCAGTTATGCTACCAAACTTATTCTTATTCGTTATTTTTACCCTCTGTATTTTTTAAACAGATTCATTTATGTCCTTATCCAGGCAAACTGTGATAAGGCACCATGTG